CATTATGGGCAATTGGACGAATTGTTTATATTTTCTTTATTATAACCTACTATGGGTAATTGGACTATATTGATTTTGCAAGATTTTGTCATTAACATACTAGTTGTCTCACGCCGTGCACGCACGACGGACTCAAATTTAGTCTAAAATGTCGATGAAATTGTTTGTCCAAGTAAATAGCCATTTTAGGTATTCTATACATGAAGAATAATCAAAACAATCATAAATGTTTGTAAATGTTGCTCAAATTATGTAGGGCATCGCTTGATCCATCTCAGATACTCGGCTCAGAATCAAAGTTCACGCCTTTCCCTTTTTTTTTTCTTTGGTATGAACTCCTCCAACAGAGGCTCATCACTCGATTTCCTGTACTGATCTAATTCATCCTCCATGTCTATAATTGCTGCAAAAAAAGAAAAAAATATATCGCAGCTAAAATACCAGAAAATGATGTTCGGTCATGCATACACACATCCATAGCTTCTTACCACTGGCTAAAGATCAACACCACATATCAAACAAAACAAATCCACCAGTAAACAAGAGAATAAGATCAATGCACAAACAACTTAGTTACACATCACCACATCAGTTCTTCCATTGTTCAAACTGTAGCTATACATAACCATAGTAGCATCAAAACATATCCCTAGTTAGGATTTATCATAATCTATTGTTAAAAAAAAAAAAAAAAAACTTAAAAAAAAAAAAAAAAAAAATGACTGTAAATAACAACAATTTTACACAGAAGTTCTGGGATTTTAACCATAAATTATGACGAAAAATCATAACCGCCTATGCATATCATTAATACCGGCACCAGTTTATGTAGGTATAGATTGACATGAGCATAATAACTGAAGTATAAAAATATTCGTATTAGGCTTTCAAAATTCTAGAAAAAAGGGAAAACCACTAATTGAACTCTACCGAGAAACTTGAGGAGGATATTTACTAATTTAGACACAAAGAACTGAACATACAAAAACTTTTATCACGCAAAACCAGACAGAAGTCGTGATCGCAGAGAAGTGATTGAAACTTATAAGAACTTCCAAGATGGAGGACAAAACAGAGGGTTTCTTATCTGATGATTGTTAAGAAGATCTTTGGAAGTTGGAAACTAATACATAAATTTTTTCACTTTTTCAAAACATTAAGTTGGAATTTATCTTTTTCCTTAATAAGTACCAAGAGTTAAATAATATATTCATTAGTTAAAATTTAAGGCATAAATATAAAATTGCTCAATATGTACAAGTACCGTGCAGAGTGGAAATGTATTAAGTTCCGAGAAGCTTTTCAGCAGCGAAAAATATTTTGCTAACTATTGTAGCTCAAAAAGTTCTAAGCACATAACTGTATCTGAGTAAGACGAAATAAGGAAATGTCGAAATGCAAAGAGAATATTAAAAGATAGATAAATTATGTGATCAAATATGTCAAATTAAACCTGGCATGAGTTCGCACGTGGGGAATAAACTTCGCAGCATATCTTTTCTCTCTACAAGAAACTCTTCAGTTGAGAGCGAGTCTGATTCCAGTCTCTTCCACAAAAATTAGAGCAGCTTCTAATGCCTTCTTACCCATTATTTTGGCCTTGAGAGACCAACCAAAAATCTTATTGTATCTAGAAAGGATGATTTCCTGGACTTCAGTGTAGGATTTCTCTGTATCTGAGAAAATAAAAGGGAAAAAAAGAGTGATTATTCGATA